TCAAGGTTGAGGAGGAGAGAAGGGAGTGATGTGTCCTAGCAGACTTGCGGAGCCCAGGTACGGCTTTGAAAATCCTGAAAACAACGTGGTATAGGGAAAGGACCATGGGCCTTGGAGTCAGCCAGACCTGGGTGTGAATCCTGCCTGGGACCCCTCTCAGCTGCATGAGACTGGGACAAGTCATTTAACTTTTTAAGCCTCAGTTTCCTTACCTGTAAAAAGGAAGTAATAACACCTATCTCAGAGATAGTCATAAGGACTAATAAGCTGATGTACATAAAGCACTGGCTCTCAGCGTACTGGTTTCCTTGGGTTTAGGATTGTAGAATTCCAGAGCTGAAAATAGCCTCACTGCTCATAACCTAATTATAAGCCCTCACTATGTGAGGGAGACTGATGCCTTGGGTAAGGAGAGGGCCTGTCCAAGGTGACACAGAGAGTTTGTGCCTGAGCTGGTCTGAACCTGGATTCCTGAGCTCCCAGCTATACTGCATCAAGTCACCAGTGTCGTGCCTTCCAGCTGACATCCCCATGCCTGTTCCCCCGCAGCCATCGCCCCCAGCGTGGTGGTCCCGCTGGCTGAAGCCCACTGTGAGGAGGAGGGTGAGGCGGCCTCTGAATGTACTCTCTCCAACCCCTGCCCCAATGCTGTCTGGCATTTCCAGCACCGGCCGCTCCGGCCCAGTGAGAGACATGAAGTGCTTATGTCCCCCGATGGGCGGACCCACCGGCTGGTGGTGAGGGGGGCCCGTTTCTCAGACATGGGCCTCTACTCGCTGAGCACTGGGCTGCACGCTGCCAGCGCCTGGCTGGTGGTTGAAGGTAAGCGGGTCGCGCCTCTGTCTCTGCCTCCACCCAGGCGAGACCTCGGGGTCGGGAGGTATGAGGAAGGCCTGTGGTCAGTCATTTGCTGTGCAATGACCCTGCACTCAGAGAGACCGAGGACGGCGTGTAGGCCTGTTCTTGACCCACAGCTGTGCAGACTCTACATGCCAGCCTGGCCCTCAGCTACATCTGCCCCAGGGTCTCGGGGAAGTGCTTAGAGACACAGACCCATGATGGCCCTTGCGTCGTGGACAGGGCATGGGACAGTGGCCCAGATTCAGTGTGGATGAGTTGCCTCTGTGCCATACCAGAGAACACCCTTAAACCCTCCTGGGAATTGGGATTTGGATTCAAGATGACCCCAGGAAACTTTAAATTGGACATATGTAATGCAGGTGGTAGGGCAAGTCGATCTTTTAAAAACCACACAATGGCTTGTGGTATTTTGATAAGCAAAAGACTTTAGGTGTATGTATTTTCACTAAAATACTCATGAGCCACATACCAGGATGACCTTTGGGTAGGATTGGGGGAAGTGGTGATGGGATTTATTCCCAATATGCTGGAACATCCTGGCTTCCTTCCCAGATGCGCAGCTTGCTTCTCTGTGGGGAAACTGAGGGTCAGGCAAAGCATGTGGGATCAGGCAGCTGCTCCAGCCTGGCTTAACTGGGGTTTTGATCTTTTCTCTTGTTTCCCCATGGGGGCATTGACCTCCCACATAAATAATACCTCACTGAAGCTGGGAAGGATAAAGGCCTTCAGACTGCAAGTTTGGACCACCAGCCACGGGCGCATGGAGCCTCAGAAGCAGAAGACTCTGGGACCATCAGTAGTGAGGGAGGGAAACCCAGAGAGCAGGGCTCCAT